TTATAATTAATGCTACTGAAAAGATGCTATTAATTTTATATCTCACATGCAGTTCACTGTAAAGCTACTTGGTGAAGGTGTTGGTTCATAAAACATGAACAGTTTTAAGAAAGAAAAAAACAGACCAGTTCTGAGAACACAAATTCCTGGTAAAGTAGTAGATGTTCAGGTTGATAAATAATATTTTCCACACTGAAGATTATGGAGGTATTGATCAGTCTTCTCATATTTTTAAGCCTCGATTTCTCCTTTCCCCCCCCCCTCTAACATCACCAGAAGTCATCATTTAAGGGGTCATTTCTCGAAAAAGATTTCCGGGGGGAAACCCCCCGGACCCCCCGGGTAGGTCACTTACGGTACGTCAAGAGCCCCACCAAAAAAAAAGACCACCGGCCGCCACTGTATACAGTCTATGGTCGTGACGCACGGCCGGACTTATCTCAGCCAATGACAGCTCTGCATGCATCCCCTGGATATTATTTTATTAAAGGGCCCATGTCATGGCCATTTCCACTGATCATAATTACATTGTTGAGGTATACTAAAATAGATTTATACTGTGCAATTTTCCAAACTCACATTGGTTTCGCATACAGCATCTCTGTCAAGCATGTGTATTCAGCAGTATTCACTTTCTCCACTAAACGACTCGTTGGAGCTCTTGCCCCCCCCTCCCTGTGAGCCTAGTGTGCTCCGATTGGTCAGCTCGGCCACTCGTTCTGATTAGTCAACCACCAGAGAGGCTGCGCCCATGTCTAACAGTGCTTTTCCCGGCTGCTCTCAGCGTAACATCAGTCTTATCATGGCGTCGGCACAGCCGTATATTTTATATACATATATATTTTTAACTGTTGTTATAGAAGAGTGTGACGGCCCCAGGGCCTTTGTCTTACGATGGGGTGGAGCTGAAGAGGCTAATCAGCACGATCACGGACACCTCTGGACACTACGGCCCCAGTCTCTCTCCAAAGCGGCTGCAGGAAGACTAACTCTGCGATCCTCTCAACCACCTATCTGCATTTACCACAATAAATGTGCCGTGGTTTTGTAAACTCGTGTATGTCTCCTTGTCTTTGTGGCCTACGAGCCGCTCATAACAAAGAGTAAGTTATTTTTACCCGTTATAAACTACTACTGTTTGATGAGAAATCAAATCATGGTTTGCTATATATGAATTCAGGGAAGAAAGGATAGGCCTACTAAGTATTTCCATTAAACTTTATTTTTAGAAATGTACAAAATGAACATAAATATACATATATACATGGTATATCATCCATTCCTCCTCCTTGCATCTTGCCTGCGCACAGTCGGTGCGGTGCTTTTTAGCACGACGCCTCAGTAGTAGTAGAAGTGCCTTTTAGCACGTCATGGATTGTCCGCCAGGATCTGGCTGGACGAAATCAAATGCAAATCACAAAATATTAGAGAAACTTAGTTGTTTTAGATTTGTTAGTAGTAGTTGTGTAATGAACAGCTTGCCTGCTAATATGCTAACCTAGCTTTGTTTACCTTGGTAGCTAACACGATATGAACGTTAGCTTGGAGGAAAGGCAACTATAATGCAGTGTAATAAAACTACTATGAACAAAAGCTAGTGGTTCATATTAGGCTAGCAATAACGTGTTTATAATTGCAATCGTATACGGGTATTCTGCTACCATACAATGTAACTTGCATGAATACATTGTTTTGCGCTAGCATACAGCTAGCCTCGTTAGCTACATGCAGTATATGTACGGTCACAATGTACGGTAAATCACAGTACAGTATACTGTATGAGTATTCCGTGTGTGTGAATGCAGACATTCTCCTGCTATGAGATACATGTATGCAAGGCCATCTGCTGATATTAGAGTTGATATATGGAAACTCTAGCAACTTAGTTAGCACAGTTAGCACTGTGTCAATGGCTTAGCAGTCCAACACAGTTTACACATTTAAACAGTCTTGTTTGATAAATACACAAATAACAATGCAAACTTACAGGTTGTATACCCAGATCTTCCCCTGCTCCAAACGGTCCAAACAAGCTGTGCATATCCGGCCTCAAACTGGGCAATGTTTTGGAAGCTTTCGTCTGTGAAATGCCGGTTCTTCGAACCTCTGGAGGAGGAACACGCCGCTGCTGGTGTGGCCATAGCTCTTCGGGATTGGTCCATTTCGTTCCGGGTACCGCATGACATCAGGCGGTACCCGGAACTAAATGGAAGACTCAAATGGGCAGTGACGTATCTCCAACGAGGCGTTTTGGGGAGGTATTTTCTGTGTTAGAGTTTTACTCGCTACAGGGTGTACTTTGAGGGTTTTGACTCTGCACACCGTTTACATGCATAAAAACCTTCATAACACACAAGGGGACGGGTAATAACCGGAAAAGCATGACATGGGAGCTTTAACTGCTTTCATCGCGACGCAATGTTTACAGTGAGAACAGCTGTGAGGTCCGTGCAGAAAGCAGCAGTGTGTATAATATATATCACTCAGTATAACAGGCCTACTCTCTTTATTTGCTTTAGTTTAGTAGATATCTACAAACAAAGAGTCGATATTTTTCTAAAACCATTTAGTGCTTCACATAATAAAATACACAACGGCTGTAGCCTGATTATATGCTTTAGGAGCTGTAGGTGCGTGTGTGGTGTATGTGTGTGTGGTACAGCAGGGTTGCCAACTCTCACGCATCTGGCGTGTGACACACGCTTTCACTCTCAATCTCACGCTCTCACGCTGCCCAAACTATTCTCACGCCAAAAACAAGAATACGAAGACTAGAAACGGTTTTGAAAACTTTTGTCACGTAGTGATCGTCTTCTCATTAGAACATCTTTGATAATGTCTTCTGGCCAATCAGAATCACGATAACGGCGTGGTGTTGTTGCAGGAAGTCCCGACGGAGAATACTTTTGCGGTAGTACATCTCATATCATCGATACAACATTACGTGTTGATAGAAATCAACACGTAATGAAATAAGACCCCACGGTTTGATCATTGATAGGTGTGTGGGCTGTCTTTCATTTTGACACACAGAACAATGGGGGCTATCCACCCTTATCCACAATGTAAAGTAATTCACACAGCCTCTTCCCTCTTCTCTCTGTGAGGAGCAGCAGGTTCAGCTTTCAGAACAAAGTAACACAAAACTAAAATGGCATTCATTTTTTTAAATATGTAGTAATAGATTTATTTATTTTTCTTCTCAAGAGAGTACCAGAATGTGTATTTGATGTTAGTATTTAAAAAAATCTCCTGGGGGAGAATCCCCCCAGACCCCCCTGCAGGGGTTGGGTTTTCAGCATGTCTACTCTTTCACCTGTGGGGAAATTGCAGGATTGGCTCCAGGTCGCCCTTTTTATTTACTACAAGACAAATGTGCCTTTTTATTTCATACAGTTCAATTTGGATTGAGAGAGACAGGGAAATAATCTAAACCTCACGCGTGGCGTTTCACTGTCGGGGGGAGCGTGTATGTAATTACATTGCAAATACTGACTTGAGCCCCACCACTGTATGGGTTAGCCCTACCATAGATTACCCAACAAAAATACTCTGGAGCCGCAACTGCAACTGCAGATCTAAGATCCAGTAGAAATGATAAAAAAGTAAAAGTCTGCTGCTTATTGTTCTACTAGGCCAAAATAGAGTCAAAGAGTATATGAGAGTGAGAGTGTGTTAATTAATATATTTGGCAGTTTGGAGTAAGTCTGTAGATTTGTTTGTGTGTGTGTGTTTCATGTATAGGCCTCTCACGATAATTAATTTTGTTGGATACATTTTCCCGGAAATTATTGCAATAAACGATAATATTGTCGGCACCGTTGTATGACCATTTTAGACCACTGACATAATGATAATATATAATAATAATTCAAGTACATCCTTTCAAACTGCTAGTCACATCCTCATGTAAATGGCAATTTATCGAGGTCAGAAAAGTTATCGAGTTCATTTTTATTTATCGTACGATAAGTCAATTAATTGCTTATCGCGACAGGCACACAATAAAATAGTGGAAACAAACATGTTTGACTTTCATTAGTGAATGAAACTGTGTGCCCTTTATAGTCTGTGTCCATTATTGTGTATTTGTATATATTGTATATATATCCTATATATATGCTAAGGTCTCGCTGCTGACACGATAGCAGTCATTTCGTGCGCATATGTGTAATTAAACCGAATTAAACCCATGATATCAAAATCTCACTCCAGCCAGGTACCCAAAGTTGGCAACCCTGGGTACAGTGTATGGGTAGATGCAGCGGACAGACAGGTCTCAGTTGGTTTGGTGTCCTCTGCTTACTTTTAATACTTGTAAATAAAACTTTTGGCCCGTAAATTTATTTTCCTCATTGTAGCGACCAGAGAGGGGAGAGGGGGGGGGGATATATCCAGTCTCTGATAGTGTTACGTTATTATGAGAGTGCCCTGTTTGATTCTGAAATTGTATATATTTTTATATATATATATATATATATGTATATATATGTATATATTTTTATATATATATATATATATGTGTGTGTGTGTGTGTGTGTGTGTGTGTGTGTGTGTGCGTGTGTGTGTGTGTGTGTCCGTGTGTCCGTGTCCCCGCATCTGTAGCCTGTTATTGTCTCATTATACCGCACTGTCAATGAATTAAAAGTAAATATATAAGTCGTCATGAACACATCTGTCCATCAGACAGAGGGCTGCTGTGCCTCCTGTCATCATTAATGGACGTCTCTTTAAAATGACCGCTCAGAGGAGAGGAGTTCTCATTTCTCTAACCGCCTGCTGCTTCCCCTCCTCTCTCCTCGGTTCCCCTCCTCGGCTCCTCCGCTCGCATCTCCTGTGGGCGGGACTAAATCTCGAGGATAGGAGTCGAGGAGGGGAATTTGATGAAATGAGAACGGCCCCGGGTGTTACCGACCTGACAGACAGTTTGAATAAACTACAGTTTGGGTTTCACTAAACGTTGGACGTCAACAAATCTGAAACATATCAGGTGAATAAATATCCTTCCACCAACGTCAGCCGGTGTTATTTACAGCATCGCCTGACAACGTGTTATGTCACTCCGTGTTATTTTATGGTTGTCCAGTCAACAAGTAACACGTGCATTGTATTGCTAATAGGTGCTGGATTATTTTGTCGCTTTCCTTAGCAAGCAGGATTTTTTACATTTTGGCACGCATTTTTGCGACCGGCAGTCTTTATTCAGCTAAAATGTAAGCTAGCTACAGTACCACTCTTCCCTTGCCACACCATAAATGACACTAGCACCACATTAGCAACCTAGCCGTGTGGATAATCTACCTTTGGGCTAACTAGCCGTAAAGCTAGTGTGGCTACATTGTCATAACAATGGACGACCCCGGTATAAAGAAGCAGAATTGGGACGTGAAGGAGACCGAGTTATTTCTGGAAATACTGAAGGACTTGGACATGAAAAAATGCTTAGACGGGAGGAAAGTAAGGAATAATAAACTGTTTAAGGTGGCACACAGGAGGATGACAGCGGCTGGTTATCACAGAACTGTGGACCAATTAAAGTTTCGCTGGAAACTTCTCAAAAGTGCGTATTATAAGTGCAAGAGGGAACCGAACCTCCCGGCACCGACCAAAATACAAGGTTGGTGGCGGTATGAAAAGACTATGATAGCTATCATGGAGTCCAGACACCCCTTGTTAGGAGCTGGTGTCAACTCTGTCAGGAATGATGAAGTGACAGAAGACTCGGATGGAGAAGCATCGATGCTGCACTGGCCGCAGCCCTGCCCGGACAATACCGCCCAGAACCTGGGTTTAATTGTAGGGGTGATGCCGTGGATGCGATGTAGTCTTGTCTTCAGATCGTAACCATTTCTGCCATGTGATGCATGCATTCATTACCCAACCGCTTGTGAACATGTCTCATACTCTTATAACTCAGTGTGATTCCACAGTTTTGATTTGTATCTTTATTTAAACAAGCAGTCTCATTGAGCTCAGATCTCATATTCACAAGACAACATGTGCACAAGAAACATCTTGAGTGTGAGCATAAGGCAATTCATTAAAATCTACTTTCGTCAAAATCACAATACTCTTGAATAACACAGTTTTTACAAAACATGTAAGATGTATTGCAGGACTGTTGATTTAAACTGAATGTGACATAATAAACTGGCAACTTGGTGTAGTATGGTACACAATATACGTTTTTCTGACCTATCAATTGGTCTGTAGTACTACTTTCCCAGCTATTGTTTCATTGTTTATTTTCTAGTTAGGGTGAATAATGCCCATTGCAATCTCTCAAATTAACAACCAATTGTACCAGTTTGAATCAGGGATTTTAGCATTAGAAATTATCTGCAAATGTATTAAGTATCAACATTTTCTGTCGGTAGACAAATATCAATACCATGATGCCTTCTATTTGTTTACCGTATAAGCTTCTTTCAAATATTAAGACATGTGATTTACAGATAGACTTACTGCTTACTTTCTCTGCTGCAGCTGCCAGCTCTGTGTTAGCCCTTTAAACTCTAATCTGAGTAAGCGATGCAGTTGCAGGACAAAAATACCCAGGACAGAGCAACTACACTGAAAGTGAAGACATTTGATGACTGTCACTCAGGAGTTTACAAGTTATCTTTCCGTCATTTAACCTGACGTTACTTGTGACGATGTGAACACAGTCAATAATTGCATTGCCTATCTCTATGGTAAATCACACTAATGGTGTCTGGCATCTAACTGTAATAACGATAACCCCCAACTTCTATTCGAAATTTGGTGCACATTTCCCTCATACGAAATAACAAGGTCATGATCAAATAATTTACTTGTCCATGCGTGTATATGCTTGAAAAAATACCTTGAACAATAACATAATTTAAATGAGTTGCCTCCATTATTTTCCATAAATGAATCAATTGAATTACTAATCGTTGCAGCTTTAACTGTCTTGCACACATGGGGTCTAGCATAATCTTGATGTATATTTGTGATAATGTCTGACACCATTGTCATCATTGGAAATGTGTTATAAGTTGTTTCGTGATTCACTTCCTCAGTTCTTTGGTCAATTGTTTAACTCTTTGATGTTTCCAATTGTTTTCTCTAGATCAAAATGGACCCCGAGATGGACTCGCAGCTGAAGATCGGTTTTATTGGTGCAGGGAACATGGCATTCGGCATTGCAAAGGGCATCTTGTCTGGTAAGATATGATAAAGTTGTTGAAACTGCACAGAGGTTTTAAACAAAAAAAGGTGTTAACTGTCCCTTTTTTGTTCCCATTAAAGGAAATGCTCTTCCTGCAAACATCAAAGTTAGCGCACCATCCTCAAGAAACCTGGGACGCTTTCAGGTACGTTTTACTTTACTTCTCTATCAGTTCTCAGTAGGATGGGATGGATTGCAGGACAGTGAGCATGATGGTAACTGTTTGTAAGATCAGTTACAGTGATTTGTTCTGTTGTTGATGAGTCGGGTAGGTGTCACTTTTTTTGAATGTGTGCACATAGTTAAACAATTACAGGGTACAAATAAGTAACTGTCCTTAAATTTGAAACTTGTGTGCTTACAGAATATTAAGATATGAATTACATTTTTACATAAACAGTGGTTATGTTGACCCTGCTGTTTATTAACATAAACAAATAAAATGTTAAGTTACCATTATAAAAAGTCTGCAAATCATTTTTCTTGATTTTTTTTTTTTTGGTGTTTATAAAATGTGAGAAAACGGTGAAAAAGGCCTACCATAAAACTGACTAGGGAAGCTGTTGTATACACTTTTTTTGTCGAAAATGATATATAATCTGATATCAAAATTGTTTTCAGTTGCCTTTATTTTTTTATTACATTTACATTTATTTCAACTAAAGAATATGTGTATGAATTATCATTCAGTTTGAACCCAAATTAAGAATGTAACGTGCCAATGATTTAACTAAACATATGCCTCTCTCATCGTTATCTTTTCTGTGTGCTGTGTTTTATTTATACCTCTAACACAATGTGAACTGTTCATTCTTGTCACAGAGTGATTTTGTGTTTGTGTCAGTAACCTCCTTTCCTCTGTCTTTCAGGAGCTCGGTGTTGCCGTCACTCATTCCAACGAAGAGGTGGTCTCTGGGTCAGATCTGGTCTTTGTTGCGGTCAAACCTCACCTGGTAGCACCTGTTCTCACTGAGATCTCAGAACACGTCACAGAGCGACACATTATTGTGTCTGTGGCAGCGGGGGTAACACTGGCAACATTAGAAGAGGTGAGAGCATAATGTGAAATGGTTTTTCAAATTAAAATTGTGTTGATCTAAAGATGACTAACATTTTTTTTCTCTTCCGATCTCAAGCTCTTGCCAGAGAATTCAGTCGCCATCAGGCTGATGCCAAATCTCCCATGTTTGGTTCAGGAGGGAGCTCTCCTGTTTGCCAGGGGATCCCATGCAAAACAGGAAGACGGAGCTCTGCTGCGCTCTTTGCTGCACCGCTGTGGTTTGGTGGAGGAGGGACCGGAGGCCTGGATCGACATCCACACTGGACTGAGCGGGAGCGGAGTTGCTTTTGTGAGTGGACCAGGATTTTATGCTTTGTTTAAAGTCCTTATAATTGCTGGCCTACTCTTGTAGTAGAAAAAGAAGATAAGGAACCTTTGTTGATCCCCCTAGGGGGAAATTCAGTTTTCCACTCTGGTTTATGCACACACAGTAAAAATACACATAGGTATATAGGTGCACACAAGCACGGATGCCTTGCTCAGGAGAACCTCTGCAGTGCCCAGGAGGTGAACTGGCACCTCTCCAGCTAGCAGTCCACACTCCGTTTTTGGTCCGATCAGACCATTTTATTACTAAAGTTAAAATAGACAGAAAGTATAGAAACCTGTAATTCACAACATGTTCCTTAAAATTGCCAGGTACTGATAATTGCCAGGTAGGGTTCACACATACAAGGAATTTGCTGTGGTGTATAATGGCAAATACAAACACACAGTAAGAGGGATTCAGTTGTAAACAAAGTAGCAAACATAGAGTTCTAAAATATATAAATATACACAAGAAGGAATAATAATAATAATAGATTACATTTTTATAGCGCCTTTCAAGGGACCCAAGGCCGCTTTTACATGCTGTGAACAAACAAAATAATAAAGTAAAAATGAAATAAATAGCAGTGGGAGTGGAAGTACAATAAGATTAGGAATATTTACTCTGAAAATGAATTTATCAGGTTTCATCTTTTAGAGACTCGAAAGTTCCCCCCGTTAAATAATCACAATAAATCTTGGTGCGGCTTTTATTGCCACTATTGTAAAAAGGTAATTATTATTGATAAAAATAAGTCTGCATCACATTACTACAGAATATTTATGGACGTTTTTAAATGCCCTCTTAAGCATGTGAATCCAAGAATTGAGTTGACATAAAGTTGTGCAGACTTTATATTCATCTCAGTGTTTTACTGGGACTCGTGCAGAATACAAAGTGATTTTCTGATTTACTGATTTACATGAGCACACATTGAAAGCTCTGCATTGCATCCTCAGTTAAAATACATATCCAGTCAGTTTAAGTAACATAAAGTACAAAATATAATTATTTACACTTTACCCCTGTATTAATAGGACTTATAAAGATGGTCCCTGTAATGAATAACCTATTGGAAGTATGTTTCAAGTCTGAGAATTGAAAAAGAAAATCAAACAAAGGTCATTAATGCAAACATTGAATGTAACACTATTGTGATATGTGACAATTAATTACTTTGCAGTAATACAAATTCATACACATTTTATTTTATTTTGATGCACTTATTTTGTGCACCTTTTGATGCTGATGCATGTGACCCCCTCTCTGCAGGTGTATCTGTTTACTGAAGCGCTGGCAGAAGGAGCTGTAAAAATGGGAATGCCAAGTGCTCTGGCCCACAGCATCGCATCTCAAACTGTTCTGGTCAGTTCTATTGCGTGTGTGCTTCCGTTTCTCTGTAGCAACATAAACACTTTTCTAAGAAATACTGTGTTTGTTCGACAGCAAAATATTTGAACCCACCATAATTATTTTGGTCTTTATTCCATCTGATGCAGGGTGCTGGGAAATTGCTACGTGAGTCCGGGAAGCATCCGGCTCAGCTCCGCTCTGAGGTCTGCACTCCGGGTGGAACAACCATCTACGGGCTTCACACCCTGGAGCAGGGCGGTCTGAGGGCGGCGACCATGAGCGCCGTGGAATCTGCCACTGAGAGAGCCAGGGAGCTCGGCCGAAAGTGAGCAGAAAGATCCAGGAAATAACGGCTGCTCTTTGCCTTTCTACTACTGCTCCATTGACTTAATTCAAGCCTTGCAACAAACTGACTTTTTGGCTCAACTTCACCATGGAACACAAAGACAAAGCAGGACTTGTCATCTTTTCTTTGTTCATTTCTTTCCCTTTCTCATCAATTAGTGAGAATGCAGATTGCAACCAACTGACAGATTCTCCACTCACCCCTCCCTTTCAGAGAAACTACAGTGGCCTTCAGGTAACATAAAAAATGTGATGGCCCTTAAGAATGCCTGAGTGTTTTTGTCGTTTCTTGGCTTTGTAAAAATGGTGGTCCTGTGTATGAATGAAGACGCCATCCTAACTTAAAGGTCCCATGTCATGGCCATTTCTACTGATCATAATTCCATTGTTGAGGTCTACTAGAATAGATTTACATAGTTTAATTTTCCAAAATCACATTGGTTTCTCATACAGCATCTCTGTATAGTAGGTGTATTCACTCTCTGTCCTACACGCCTTGTTGGAGCTCCTGCCCTCCCCTCCCTATGAGCCCACTGTGTTCTGATGTGTGTTTATGTGTTACAACGGCGTTTGTTAGCAACCAGAAAAGGACACCAGTAATGACAAACAGATGAGAATGCTGCGTGGGGTCTGGGTGCCGTGTTGGCGGGACGTTGCGGGGCTCGTTGCTCTGCTCTTTGAGACTCGAGGAGCCGACAGTGTGAGCTGGCTTACTGGTGTCGTTTCCTGGTTGCTGCGTGGGGTCTACGAGACAGTGAGACACCGCGAAACTCAGCCTGAACTCAGCCTGAGCACACACACAAACTTTTTTGGTTTTGGTAACGCGTCACTCTCACTCCTTATAGAGTGGCGAAGTCACGCCCATCTACTTCCGCCCCATGGGACCTTATTTCGGAAAAATAATGTATTGAAGTCAATGGAGAGAGAAAACTTATCTTTCGATCCCGTTTGAATTGTGCCATGAATTACACATATGATGTTTGTCAATCTTAAAAAATAATTTCCATGTAAAAAAAGTCACAGTTTGTCGTAAAACTGTTGAAATATAAGACTATGAAAAATACGTAACTAGAAAGACTACAAATCTCAGAGTCGCGTAAGTGATGTCACAATTGTTTTCCTCCACTGAGATAAGAGATAGCTAAGATCAGCGCCATATAGATATAATCTATCTATATGGCGCTGGCTAAGATAAGATAACTTTAACAAGATGCCTGTGTGCTTAGTACCAGGTTGTTATTATACCAGCAATGGGTCTTGCTCGTTCTTTCGCTTCCCGTCTGATGAAAGGACCAGGAGTGTCTGGATCAAGCTAGCTAGTAGCTAGCACGTTAGTTAGCATTACAGCCTTGTCATTTTTATTAGCCTTAACATGAAGTAACATTAAGTAACCCACAATGTTAAACAGTAAGAGTAGTAGTCATATTTCGTGAACCCTTTGAAGAGTACTGTCACCGGTGTGATCATTCTATAATACACAATTTAAGCCCGGGGGAGAAATGCTAACGCTAACGCTAGCGATCTTCTCTACTTCATGCTATCTGCACAAATGGTTGACATTAAACATTAAAACGACCAGGCAGTTCAGAGAGAATCAAAGGAAGGCAGGCAGGCAGCTTTGCATGACATTCTTCAGGACGTGTTTCATTGTGGTGATAGTGAGGGTAGTCAATCGTTTTGTTGACAAGACAGTAGTGACGGCCATCTTGGTGACGTGTGTTGTTGACCAGAGATGTAGTTCATTGAGCGTTTCACACAAACAAATATGTTACTTCACAGTTTTACGACACATTTTTTTTTTTTTGACTTGCAAAATTATCTTTTAAATTGACAAACATCATATGTGTAATTCGTCGCACAATTCAAACGGGATCGAAAGATAATCTTTCTCTCTCCATTGACTTCAATACATAATTTTTCCGAAATAAGGTCCCATGGAGGTCCACCGGAAGGGGAGGGACTTCGCCACTCTATTTGTTAACGTTTTGGTGTGTATATAACTTTCCCTCGATTCCATTGGCTCTAGCGGTTATAAAGAGATTTCATTCATCAAAATCGAGCAAGGAGGGCCAGAGATAGGTCAAATCCACCCAAATGACCCCAGAAGTGGGGGTTTTTGGCTAAATCTCTCTAAAAAGGTCAAATTTCACTTGTTTTGCATCAATTTTGATACAGGGTACTTATTATATGTTGTACTTTGGATTCCTAAAGTTTTTAGTCTACTAACCCATCATCCAAGGGTAGTTTTCACTATAAGTAAAAAAGAATTTTTGGACGGACAATCAATCTGAATTTTCTTTAAAATAAAAAACATCTATATTGATTCTGACTTTTCTACATCCAACTCACAGGTTTATCATTACTTTGAGAATAAAGATTATTAATTTAACCCTTTTAGAAGGGAAGATATGGTAATTTGTTCTGGGAATGTCATTTTCGAGCCTGAGACCTGAAAAACAGGCTCAGGGCTTAAGAGGTTAAAGAGTAAGAGTAAGAGTGCTATATAAAATACTGAAAAGCAGGAAATCTACATTTCATTCATTTTAACATACTTACTACTAACTTACTATTTTTCTGCAGCCCTAGTGTATACAAAAAAAAACCCAAAGCCCTAACTTAACCATCTGCAACATTAAAATAATGAACACACTATTGCATTACTAATCATAATCTAATATATTAAAACACTTGTGTACTTTTATTTAAATCAGATTTTAAATGGATGACTTTTACTACTAAAAGTCTGAGTACTTCTTGCTCACTGTCTGGTCCTACTTGCCATTGCAAAACAAGGTTGTGGGATTTCGTTTTATACAATAACATATAACGTCATAAAGAGTTCGGGATTGTTGTAATAGGACAAAGGTTGAACATTGGGGTATTAGTTATTTAAACCAAATACACATTGTTCTGTCTCAGTTATGTAAATGACTCCACTCTAATAATATTATACTAATCTGATCGCATGTCAACAAATTTGAGATTTGAAAATGGGGCCATGAGGAAATTATTAATGATTCATAACTCCCCCTCCCCCATGCTTTTAGATCACACAATCACCGGTGCTCCTTGTCCTTCCTTCCTCCCTCCCTCCCTCCTCTTTCCCGTTGTCACTCACACTCACCGACTGCCGGAGAAACACGCGTTTAATCCACCGGCCTGCCTTCACACCGACAAGACAAAAATACACAGCAGTAAGTACGTTAACGCTGACTGACAGCTGGGGGTTTCAGTCTGGGGAATAATATCTGAAATCATTTGAGAGACATTTTGGGCAATGAATGGAGATTCAGCAGGGGCTCGGCGTGGGTACACACCTAGCAGCCTAGGCTACTAGGCTAGCTAGCGGCTAGCTGAACTAGCAGCTTGCTAGTGCTCAACATCCGCGGTGCTAACGCAGTGGCTGTCACACCGGCTGGACACCGGCTTCAGAGGCTGTTGTACATTTACATTTACTCTTAGTAAACCTTCTCATACGAAAACAATATTTAAGTGTCGAATTGTAACGCGTAGTAATTGTGTCGCATTTAATATTAACCACCCACTGACGGCGTTTCATCGCAGCTAGGACCTACTAACAGATGAAAGATGGCTAATGTTGAGGTTAGCAAGGCGCACCTTCTGAAGACAGCTCCTGCTTTTCGTAAATGGTTTAATATGTTGCTAGACAGGTTTTCATTCATGACATTAACAGTCACACCTTTCTGACCTTAGGTGAAAGTGTTGCGTTGTTTTAGGATGTAATGTCATTTTAGAAAGGACCTGTTATCTCAATAGAAAAAGAGCACGTTTTCAGATATAAAGCAGTTATTTTGAGTTGTAGGGCGTGGTGATGGCGTAGTCCTGTTAGTAAGCTGTGGGTTTTATCTTTAATCTTTAGAATAAAATATTATTAGTAAGTATATCAGTCCTACTATAGTTAAGCATTTGCAAATCACTGTACCTCACCCTTACTGGGGTGCTTAAATGCATCAGACACTTGGCTGAGGTTATTTGAGGTGACTTCCTCAAAAGGGGATATTCACTCATAAGCAAATTGAAAGGGTAAAGCTGGCAATTTGTATTTGTTATCATTAAACTCCATGTAAAGACCACATAAAACACTGATTTGACTCTTGTTGTACATTAACATGACACATCAATATCAATATGCCACATTGATGCACCCAGGGTCATTTTTTCATAATAATTAACATGAGCATTGCAGTTTATTTTAAGACAATCGTACCCTCATACACCTTACCGCTGCCAGAAATACTCACTAGTGATGCTTAAAATAGCCCTGTTTGAGTGGCATTTGTAAAAAAAACCTGCAGTGCCTAGTCTTATTCACCCTTTGTTGTTTTAATGTTATATGGTAGTATAAATGCTGAGTGTCAAGGGCGGAGTAGAGAAGTCAACATATAGAATTTCTCCTGTTAGTTCTTTAAATAAAAGATTGTCCCAGTGTCCATAGTGCGACATATAAAGGGGTGCAGCCTAGCAACCCAGCATATTAATGCATTTGTAGTTGCAGTGGTCTGTGTACAAGATTGACATTTGTTTAATTGAAATATCACCACTAATGTGCTTGATTACATTTTCGATAGTGCTGCTTTAATAGAACATTTCATTTTTGATGAAATTGAGAAAATAAACGGTCCCTGGTGCCTTTCAAATGGAAAACTTTGGGATGTATCCAAGTAATTGCTCGATTTTCTTTCTTATCAACTAAAGCAGATAAATAGTGCAAGTATTTTCCATTTGAGTAGAGAGTTTCATGTCAACTTGTTTATTAAGAAAACTCACATTTTAACACAAGCTTCTTTCCCCTCATCTTGCATTCAGAATTTGACAAGTGAGTACTCCTGATAATATTGTTGACATTTTCCCATTCGAGTTGTGGTACGTCCATAGTTTTGTCTTTGTTTTGCAAGGTCGTGATTGTTACATTTCTTTTGAATGGCTTGCGATTTAACTGGATGAAAAGAACGTGTTGAGCATTTGACTTTGAGTAATAGTTTAAGCTCAACACATTTTTACCAAGGAAGGTGAGTTAAGAGCTTGAATAAGATTTTTTGTAAGCATTAAGCAGGAAATGCTTTCCCAAATGGTGCCCAAATCCATTTCAGTATGCCACTATTCATCGTAATATTACTAACCTCCACATGTTGAAACATTAAGGGAAAGCATTTCCTGTATTGCAACAGAATAATGTAACTTCATAAAAACAGCATGGCTTGTGCAATGTTTGATTTATAAAAAAAAAATGTATCAGAAAGAAAACCCAAAGCTGTTGACTGAATAAGTTTGCTTGCATGGACATCTTTTTAATTGATCATTAATGTCAGTGTTTAAACCTGTTTATATTTTGCTCTACACTTGTTACACACTTTTTTGTTGTCGAATGCTTTCATGTTGCTGTGTCATGATTGGTCAAGTCTTGTTCCAAGAACAATATACAATAGTTGTGATAAAATTGCTCTAAATTAAGTGTTGGTTAAACATGTTACATTATTTTGTTCAAGAATGTTTAAAAGCCATTTATAATTGTATACTATAATAATACTGCAGCTATTTATGTTTTGAGTAATCAAAGGACTAGGGTCTCTTGGGTGTCAGATCAATATAAAGTTGCATGATTGTGGTTACTATACATAGAAATTCACCTAATCAAAAAACAGGTAAATTGCCTTTTGTGGGATGAGCATAGTTAATATGAGCTCTAGTTTTGTAATGGCAGTGGCCACTCAGACATTTCCCCGTCTGGCTAAATAAATTGTTTTTTGGGGGGGGGGGGGTGGGTTTGGTTAAGTATTGTGTTGCAGGAGAAACTGCAACTCAGACTTGATTTTTTGTATTTTAAGGACTCAGTTGGACAATCTCAATCTGGCATTCAGACTTAAAAGCATTCGGACCTAAAAAAGCACGGGCCCCAGTGTTAATTGCCCTTTACTTATATTCTTGAGTTTAAACCATGTAAACTCAGCTGAACGCTCTCCAAGCTTTGGTACGACTTAGTCAGCATCTCCTGTGCATGAGTTTTGACAATACTAACAATTCACCAACAAGTAACTCCATTCACTAAACCTTTTTAGTTAATCTGCATGGATTTCTTCTCAATGTCCTGCATGCTTCCTGTGTTTCTCTGGGTCTGATTTCTAGACTCTGTTTCAAACGTACAGCTCTTTGACTGTTGCATTTGGACGACTGAGTCTAAAAGATCAATCCCTTTGTGTCTCTAAACCTTCCTGCGTCTATCTTACTAACCCAAAAGCCTGTACCTGTTATTCTCTTTTTTCCGCTGCCACGGATCAAAGATGTCTAAGAAGAATCCCTCGTGCTCTGCACTTGATCAGTCAGAGATAGATAAGAAAGCCAGCCACTGTCAGGTGGACCGGTCCGCACCTGCAGCCTCGCCGTGTATGAACAAGGCTGAATCAGGTCAAAGAAACGGAGATAGGGCATCATCGTCCCCAGAGAGCGGCAGCCTAAACGGAGATGGAAAGCGCAGTGGGAAAAGCCGTCGCCGCAAGAAGCGTTCATCCAATCCTGAGAGTCAGCCTGAGGGGACGGTTGACAGTAAGACCAAAAAAGAAGAGAAGCCAGACAAACGGACAAGCCAGCCAGCATCTGACCCCCGCGCTGGGCTGATGGGCCTGCAGTCGGAGTGTGCTAATGTGTGGTTTGAGCGGAGCATGTACGAGCAAGCCGAGAGCCTCTACCAGTGCTGGTTGGCGAGCTCCTCCAACGGGGCCACCAAGTCAAAGCGTTCCTCCCCAGCCCCCGGCAAACACTCAAACTCTCAGTCGTCTGTGGCTCTATCTTCCTTAGGACCGGTGTGCCAGCATGGCGACCAGGCAGAAAGCCAATATGCTGAAGAATCAGTGCAGCGACCAATTCCAAACTCTCTGGTCCTCACATCCCCACCTAACCCCTCCATCACCCCTCAAACACCGGATGAAGGATATCAGTCTCTAGCCCCGACACCTGCAACCCCGGTCATCCAGCAAGCAGCCGTCACCCCAACCAATCGTCAGTCGATCAACGGACTGCCTCGCATTCCAGTGGAGCTGCTCAGAGACGTGTGGCTGGAGAAACCTCTGTACGACCGCGCAGAAGCAACTTTCTACCAGAACCTGTATGGCAACAACTCCTCCAAACGCTCCACCTGCGCCTCCACTTCCAGAAGTAGCGACCACCCTCAAAGCCTTGTAGAAGAGGAGGAGGAGGAGGAAGAAGCTGAGGAAGAGGCAGTGGAGGAAAAACGTGTGGTCCCGCAGGGGAAAGCGGAAATCTTCCACGCTTTGCTTCCTATTCAGGAGGAAGAGGAGCCAGCTGAGGTCCAAGAGAAGATTGAAGCATCGGGGACCGGGGTCTGCTGCTTCCTTCACCCAGACAGCGAGCGGGTGTGGTTGGACAAGTGGCGGTATGATGCTGCAGAGAGCCGTTTCCATGGCTACACTGGGAGTGATGCTGTGGTGGTGAAGAAGGGTCGGCGGACAGAAGCAGCATCAGCGGCCTCCACCGCCCCACTGAGGGACAAGTATGACCAACCCGGGAGAATGGAGTCGCTCCAGATGTTTCCGTTTTACCTTTCATTGTTTTTTATTTTATATAATCATGAGTTTTACTCTTTTCTTTTTGGAATGTGTGCCCATTTTCTTTAATTTTTTTAATTTGTGTTGGTTCATGCCTTTTTTTTATTCCTTGTTGTCTGTTTGAGATTTGACTGTGTGACTGATGTTCGTATGAACCATTGTTGCCAACTTGACTTCATTTAAAGTTGATTTTTGTGGTGATGTAGTTAAAAGAATACATACAATAAGCCATTTTAAAGAGGCCATGTTATGCTTTTTGGGGCTCTCCCTTTGCTGTAGTGTTTTATATAGTTCTTCGTGTGCATGCAAAGGCTCTGCAAATAATAAAATCCCAAATTTGACTTCAGATGAAGGCCTGAAATGCATTGATTGTAGTCCTTTGTTTAGTGACATCACTACATAACACTTGTGCTTCTATTGGCTAGCGCTCCAACGCATTGTACGTGATAGGCTAAGGTGCGGGACATCTCTAAGTGTTTGACCAATCACAACAGAGCCAGCCAGCTTACCAATCAGAGCAAACTGGGCTCTGGTTTCAGACAGAGGGTGAAAAGAGGTGCTGCAGTATGAGAACAAAATAGCTTTTTGAACATTAAATCATGGAGACATGTCACAGCAGAGACACACAATACAAATAAGAAACCTGAAAAAGAGCATAATAGGGCCCCTTTAATATACAATGTTTGTTTCCCTGCTAAGAAATCATTGTGATCATAAATAACCTATTGGTTATTTCTAATAATTATAAAATAAATGTCTTTGACCTTCTCTGTTATCTTCATTCATCCCTCTCGTGTCCCTCTCTACTCTCTCTTCTGTAGCACCATGAGTTCCGTGGACTTTCTGGCCCAGGAGAAGATCTGGTTTGACAAACCTCGCTATGACGATGCAGAGAGACGCTTCTACGAGCGCACAGACGGCTCCTCACAAACCGCAGAGGTGCCCGCAGAGGTACGCTCAACAGAGGTACGCTCAACAGAGGTACGCTCAACAGAGGTACGCTCAACAGAGGTACGCTCAACAGTGGTACGCTCAACAGAGGTATGCAAGTCTCGTCACTCTGAGTTTATATCCTGATTTTAGACCATTTGACTTCAAGACGATATTATTTGTGTTCATTTTTTGTGAAAATCTTACACCAGTGACATTACATGACACGTAGTAACAAGAAAATTTATGTTGAATTTGACAGTTTTTTTTTTTTTACAAAGTCTGACTTGCTATTTCAATTTCAAATATGCACAAGGTTATAGAATTAAGTAGTCAAATGTGCTAAATTGAAATGATTGAACTGCTGAGCATTGCACCTTTTAATATTTAGTACTTGGAAGTTGTTGACTTTTTTTTCTTTTTCCTTTTAAGGATGTCGGATCCAACACCATTCTGCAGGACATCGCTAGGGCCCGGGAGAACATCCAGAAATCTCTAGCAGGAGTAAGTACACATTCTGTGCGGTGTTCTGCCTCTTATCACACATTATCACCCTTTACTCAGGGACCTCATGTACTATTGACTGAGCAAACAACGTCCCATATGTCCTGTCACATGGCTTTAGAATGTCCAGGGAAAAGACACATGGGTCGAAACTGAATTTCATGAATAGTGATAACTACAGTGATAAATAATAAGTTATTCTGCACAATCTTGCAGCGGCAAAAGTTGCAGGACGTTGTCGCATCTTTTCTCCTAAGGGTTCCCCTCCTTTACTTATTTTTGTTTTTCTTTGTAAAGGACACATTTGGGAATTATACAATACCAATAAACTCATCTTTGGTCACATTTGAATCTTGTCAAGCCAAACTTTTATTTTAAGGACCTAGACTTTTCAATGCTTTGTTGATGGTTTAAATCAGGCTTTTGTATATTGAACATATCTTTTGAACAACTTGTTTGATAGGTTTGAGCTTCTTTCATTAATATTTAATTGTTGCTGAAATGTTAGTGGAATAATTTTCCCAGCTGCAATATCTAATAAAAGTAAACGCTTGGTGGTCAGCTGATGCCAGACAAACGTTACTCTACAGAAATGGGGGTGGATGTTATCTTTTAATAATCTTTTATCTTGTCCTGGTCTTTTTTCATGATCTTCATTAAGTATTCAGCATCCAATCTTCAACATCTAGTTGTGATTTGTGCCTTAATCTTCCTTAACCTCCCAGCTCTCTTTGTTGCTCGTTTGCTTCCGGTTTGAAACTCTCTGACACGATCTTTCCACATGCTTCCCTCAGTTTCCTCCCTTTTTTCATGCTTTAATTCCCTGCCTCCCCCAGCTGAAGACCACACTGTGTAACAGAGGGCAACCTCCCCTGAGCCAACAGTCCCAGCTTGTAAGTGCCTCCAAGCCGCATGTGTCTCAGGAATCTTCTGCCAATCAGTGGGCCTTGCTCGAGTTAGAGTTTGTTAGACCTTAAGTCGGCTTTTAGATATTATATTTGTGTGTGGAGTGCTGCAGACCCCTGTCCAAATAGCTGCCTGTCACTCATATTTCTGTCACGCTCTTTCTATGCATTTCCTGCCGAGATGGACACTTTCTGTGTGTGTGTTCACATATGGGGTCTGCCTGATTGATTATGGTGTGATTTAAAGGAATAATATTCTGGTTTAGTTATTAAATGTTTCTCTGTCTCCAAACTATGTCCATTATTTCCTGTCTTTGTGTCTTGGTTCTGCAGAGCGTCAGCGGTGCAGGTGATACAGGAGAGATCATCTGTCGCATCAAGGGCCTGGAGCTGGAGAACCATAGCTTACACCAAGGTGGGTTTAACCTTGATTAAATATGAATCCATTTTGTTTTCTTAAGAGAAAAATATATTAGGGATTTTTTAACATTTTAATATAATGACATACTTTATGAAATTATTCTATGACCCCTTTATGACATTTATGACATAGTATTTTTATAATTTTATTTTAACATATTACTATTGTTTTCTTATGAACTGCAAGACTTTGATCACTCCTATGGTATTACTTTTTTTCTACATATGTTATGACTTTTTCTTTGCCATACTATACTATGACTTGTGGCATATTTTGCCGCCAAGCTCTTAGACTGGGACAAAAACAGGAAACACAGCAGTCTACAGCACATTTTTAAAACACAAAATAATAAAATGGGGGTCTGCCCTCTGATTGGCTGCCTTTCTGCCTCCTGCATGTGGCACACCAAGCCCAGGTGGGTCCAATGTCGCTAATTGCAGCCAGCCCTTAGACAGAATATCACCCTAATACTACACTATTAAATACAAAACTAACATAAAATAACACACTATATTAGTATGTCACAAAATATTTCTCTGTTATCCAATGAAGAGGCTTGTTTGGAATACATTGTTTATGATTTTCTCTTTTTATTCCTGTCCCTTTTTTACACACAACACTGCCAAGGTGTTTTTTGAGTCAATAGACTGACACTTGACTTATTCCACTGTCAGCAGCTAAATACCTCTAACTGTGCAATACAGCATTCATATATTTGATTAATGTATTGTTTTATAATAGTTTCTGAGTATTTATTGTTGCTATATATTTTACAATGTTTCTACTTTAACTTTGTGTGTGTATATATATTTTTGTATTTCTTTCTCAAATTGAGCAACTCTCGTGAAACAAAATTTCCCCCTGAAATAAAGTATTCTGATTGTATTCCTGTTTCTCTAGTGGTGGACGACTTGAGGGCTGCACTTTCCAAACTGGAGTGTCGGGTAGCAGTTCTTGAGAAGTCTCCTGCAGCAGGGACCCCTGCCGCTGCTACCTCAGTACCATACACAAACGTGAGTTCTTACAGATTGTTCTCATCAAAGGAGTCATCTTGTGCTCTAGTTTTATCCAACCTCCGGTCGATTACTCCTTGTGTAAGCGTGTCATTATTTTCACTCTGCTCAGGGCACCACCGTCCAGCAGCAGAAAAGCGCCCCAGTTAAAGTCGAGGAGGAAGAGGAGGAGGAGGATGATGATGATGACGACATGGACCTGTTTGGTAGTGATGAGGACGATGAAGAGGCAGAGAAACTCAAAGAGGAGAGGTTGAAAGCGTACGCAGCGAAGAAATCCCAGAAGCCCGTCCTCATCGCCAAGTCTTCCATCTTATTGGACGTCAAACCTGTAAGTCTGCTTCAGACCAGGTTCCCCAAAAATCCTAAAAAACGATATCACATACAGGGAGTTAGAAACACTTAGAACTCTTTTATAAATACTAATAGGTGATTATCCCTTTCTGTTTTTATTTTAGTGGGATGATGAAACTGACATGGTGAAGCTGGAGGAGTGCGTGCGCTCGGTGCAGGCTGAAGGCCTGTTATGGGGCTCGTCCAAACTGGTTGCCGTGGGTTACGGTATCAAAAAGCTCCAGATTGCATGTGTGGTTGAGGACGACAAGGTGGGAACAGACCTGCTGGAGGAAGAAATCACCAAGTTCGAAGACTATGTAAGTACAGCATGCCGTGACTTCTCAGCTTGATATTTAAAATCAGAAATGCAAAATGTGAACATCCTTTTAAATCCAATTTCCTGACAGGTAAACTAATCTCAGCTCAACACATTTTCACCACATGATGGCAGCAGTTTGCAGACTCACTGATTATTATCGACACCTAGTTAAAACTAATGTAGGAAAAAATCCTGCCTTGATGGAGGTTATGATTTCCAGTTATTTTTTAGAGGTTAACACCATTTGTGGAACATGGCTACGTTTCCTAGTTAGAAGCTGTCATTTGTGACACTTTAAAATTGTGTTACACTTGATAATCATCAATGGATTTTGACACAATACTTAAAAATATATATATATATATATATTTTTTGAAAAGCTTCCATGTCAGTGACTCAAATCCGTACCAGATATTATTACTACACTGAACAACTAGGACACACAAAATATGTTATTGGAATTGAGTCCACCTTCTAGTACAAATTATGAATATTTTTTTTTAAGGGAATACATGAAAACGTTTATATATTTTCTACCAGATGTTAAAGTTCTTAGCATTGTTTTCAGTCTTACTTGTGTTTTTCTCCGCTTAAACGCAAGCTCAAAATATTTAGTTATATTCGTATTATGCAGATTATATAGTCCTCTCTCCTTGCCTCCTCCCCTTCATGTCAATACAGAGTTAAAATTGAAAACCACATATTTATTTGAATGCCCCCATTTTATTTTTAAATGCCATTTTTTTTAATGTCCCTGCTCCACAATTGACGTACAATTGTACAACAACAGCACATTGCTAGTTTTCTGGGATCAGCATGAAGCATCATCAGAAGCTGAGAGGATTAGATTTACTTCAGTGTCTTGACAAAACACGCCATCTTCTGTAAACTAATCTAAGTTTCTCCTTTTCTCTATTTCAGATCCAGAGTGTCGACATAGCAGCTTTCAACAAGATCTGATTCCAGTGTGTCCCTTTCTGTCTTTCGTCACGCCTTGTTTCTCTGATGTGTCAACGGTTAATAATAATAAAAACAAACTCTTGCACTTAAACTATTGTTCTTGTTCTTGATTAAAAAAAAAATTGTATTTCATTAAATGTTACTCAGATTGTAGACAGTCCTACTCGGCCTAATATTAAGTCTCCTAGTAAATCCTCCTTAATTGATCTCATTTTAACTAATGTTAAATTCTAAATACTCATCTGTGGGAGTATTTGCAAATGATGTGAGTGCCCACTGTGTTGTAGCCACAATTAGGGACACAAAGGTCCAAAAGGGTAAACCTCGCATTATTATAAAGAGAGACACAAAACATTTTGTGGAGCAGGGTTTTGTACATGATCTGTTTGGTTTTGATTGGGGAAAAGTCGATCTGTGTGCTGATGTAGAAACCGCATGGTCTTATTTTTATCTTGGTTTTATGGAAATTATAGATAGACATGCACCCCTACGTACATTTAGAGTGAAGGGACGAGACAATCCTTGGTTTTCTGCTGAATTGTCTAGTCTCCTACATGAGAGAAACAAGGCCTGGGCAAAGGCTAGGAAATCAGGCTCAGAGGTAGAATGGCTGCGTTTTAGGCAGCTAAGAAATAGCTTTACATCTCAAATCAAAAGTGCTCTAAGTATTATCTGTCAGTTACCACAAAAAACCTGAATAATCCTAGAACATTTTGGAAAGCCATTAAATCTATATCCACCGGTGAAATCTGTAATGAGCTACCTCCTTGCCTTACCACAGCATCTGGCTCTATATTGGACAGGGCCACTATGTTAAATTGTTTTAATGAGCGTTTTGTGTCCTGTGGCTCTCTGTTTGATTCTGTTTCTAACTGCTTCTGTGAACACCACAGTCGGTGACTGAACAATGTGGTCTGGAAAACCCCTTCAGTTTTTCTCCTTTTACTGTTGATGTTGTTCATGAAACCTTAACCAAGTTGGATCCTAAGAAACCGGCTGGTCCAGACAACGTAGAACCTTTCTTCTTAAAGATAGCTGCAGATTTTATTGCACCACCTCTTACTTCTCTTTTTAACCTCTCCCTCAGCACTAAGAAAATTCCAAAAGTATGGAAGTCAGCTTATGTCCTGCCTTTACTAAAAGGAGGGGAGGCCACTTTATTAAATAATTATAGGCCCATCTCTAAATTATCAGTTCTGGCTAAGGTTCTTGAACGCCTAGTGAGTGAGCAGGTAAAAGTGTTTATGTAAAAATGACATCCTATGTAAACATCAGTCAGGCTTCAGAAAGCAACATAGCACCATCACTGCCACAATGAAAGTGGTGAATGATATTGCGGGTATCTTAGACAATAAGCAGAGTTGTGCACCTCTGTTAATTGATCTTTCCAAAGCGTTCAATACCGTCGATCATCATATCCTGAAGCAGCGGCTGGCCAGTATTGGTATATCCAGCCATGCAGTGGGGTGGTTTGTGAACTACCTCTCTGAAAGGTCCCAATAGCCGTGTTCATACCGGAGTACTTTTCACCGTACTTTTCGCGTTTAGTTCCGTTAGTACCCCTTATGTCGCATTCACACCAAAAAGAGCACTTAATCTCGGGAACTTTTACCCCCATTTTTAGTGCCTGCTGAGAGATGGTACTTTCCTGGGGGAAAAAAGTGCCCCAGTTCTGATTGGCTGGGCGAATTGCAAACCACGCCCCGTACAACTCTGAAATGTTTTGTAGAGCCGCCATTTTATTATCCTCGCATTAGCATTATTAGCATTAGCATTCGCCCAGCGCACAAACGCAGAGAGACTAACTTATGGCAACACAAAATAAAACATGGGAGCGGTGGAGATGAGGAGGTGTCGGCGTTCTGGCGATTTACTCGGAAGGCTGCAGTAGAAGCTGCTGGGAGTCCCAGCAGCTTCTACTGAAGCCAGTCCCCAACTCCGGGGACTTCCGGCCGGGGACTTCGGGTGGCAGTATACGCTGTGAAGTTGTTTGCGGCCTGCCAGTAAACCCAAAGCAGAAGAAGACGAAGTGACGTCAGCGGCTCATTTGCGTAATCTTCCCTCAGGGAATTTATTCCGGTGTGAACGCGATCTGTACTAAGTGCCCTGGGGTAATAAGTGCCGGGGCACTGAGTGCCGCCACTAAATACGGCAAAGTACTTGGTGAGAACGTGCCTATTGTGTTCAATTTGATGGGCTCTCTTCTGAGTGGTTAAACATTACAAATGGTGTACCACAGGGTTCTGTTTCAGGTCCACTTTTATTCTTCATCTACATAAACAGCTTAGGTCAAAATGTGGATGGAGCAACTTTACATTTTTATGCGGACGATACCGTGATGTATTGTGTAGCTTCCTCCATTAAGGAGGCTGCTGTTACATTACATGTCACTTGTTAGACGCTTTTATCCAAAGCGACTTACATACTCAATACTGTGGGCAATCCCCACAGGAGCAATTTGGGGTGAAGTGTCTTGCCCAGGGACACAACGACATGCTGACTGCAGTGGGGTTTGAACCTGTGACCCCCTGATCCCAACACCAACGCACAACCACAACCCACTGCACCACACGCCTCCCTGTTACATTTCAGGCTGTTTTTAATATTATTCAGACTCAGCTCTCTGAACTAAAGCTTCTTTTAAATGTTGATAAAACTAAGGTAATGCTATTTTCAAAAGCTAAAAAGACACCAGAGACCACTTTGGATATTGGTACTGCGCAAGGAAAAGTACTTGAAGTGGTTGCCTGTTATAAATACCTTGGTATCTGGCTTGACGATTGCCTCTCTTTTAAACTTCAGGTAGATAATCTGCTGAAAAAGCTGAGGGTTAGACTAGGTTTCTTTTTCAGAAACAAGTCCTGTTTCTCACTTGAGGCCAGGAAAAGGCTAGTCACTGTGACCTTTTTACCTGTGCTGGACTACGGTGATCTGCTTTATATGAATGCACCTGCCCATTGCCTGAACAAGTTAGATGCCGCCTATCACAGTGCACTGAGATTTGTTACTAATTGTGAAGCACTTACTCATCACTGTACCCTGTATGCCAGGGCAGGTTTGCCTTCACTAACTGTACGGAGGCTCAGTCATTGGTACATGTTTATCTATAAAGCTATGTTGGGTAAACTCCCATCTTACATCTGCTCTCTGATCACACAGAGAGTTGCAGGTAGCTATTGCCTGAGATCACATGATGTGGCTTTGTTACATGTGCCAAGTGCTAGGACTGACTTTGGTAAGAAAGCTTTTATGTGCGCAGCTTCTCTTGCTTGGAACAGTCTTCAAACAGATTTGAAAATGAGCAAATTGTTTCCACTGCCTGTTTTTATAGCTCGGATAGGTGCAATGATACTGTTGGTACTTGTCAATGTCTCTAGTTATGTAAATGTAGCCCTGTAAATACGATGTCCTTTTGTGTTATCTGTTGTTTTATGTTCATGTTGTAACCTACTTGCTGCCATGTTGGACAGGTCTCCCTTGAAAAAGAGATCGATGATCTCAATGACCACCTGGTTAAATAAAGGTTTTTTTAAAAAAAAGGATTAGTTCTCCCAAATGACACTTCTTGCCTCTAGGTGGGCCACAGATAATTGTGTTTATTTTGTATAGATCTTTAGACCTCCCCATCCACCTCAATACATTGGAATTAAGAGGATTTTTGTTTATGGTACTCGAATAAAAAAAGTGTTAATATACCTATCCAAATTAAATTAAAAGGTACATGCACTGAACTTGCTTGGTGGATGCACATGTACCACTAAGGTGGAGACAGACATCTCACAGATTTATTTATTTATATTTAAAGCCTGAGCAAAGACTGACTATATAATAAATTACATAATGCAATATTAATTTTAAATGACATACTGTATTAACTTTATTTATAGTTACTATACTATGATTATTTGGACAAACTATATTATAAATTATTTTATATGCGTTCTAAACTGTGACTTTTTAGTGACAAACTATATTATCAATAATTGTTTTGACATACTACAATGACTATTTAAAAAACGTGTCACACTTTTTTGTGGCATACTATAATAGGACTTTTTTAGTGATTTTCTGTATGATACATTTATTATAACATACTATGAACAATTTATGACTACCTTCAATTTGACATTATAAAAACACAATAATTTTATGGCATATTATAGTTCGACTTTTTTAAGAACAACTTTTTATTAATATGTTTTTATGGCATACTATGCAATACATTTTCTATGTGGTAATATATTTTTGTGATACACTATTATTTATTTATGACATCAATTTTTTTTTTTAACGTACTATAATATGGTCTTTTAAAGACATTATTTTGTATTTTTTCTATTACTATATTATTGTGATGATCGTGTTGTGCACTCCTGACCTCTAGTAGCTGAAGTTACGTAGAATCTTCTAATTCAGGTTTTAACTCAGGTTAATGGAATAGATTTAAAGGTAGGGTAGGTAAGAATGGAGAAACCAGCTCGAGTGCGCTAGAATTTGAAAGTACACAACCGGAAAAAATCTGCCCCTTTACTTCCTTCAGACTGCCTTAAGGCCCCTACACACCAGGCCGATATCGGCCGTCTTGCGTTGTTGGGCGAAAACGGGTTCCTTGTCGCCCAAAGTCAATTTGGTGTGTCCCGAACCCTCGGCCGTGACACGCCTTATTTGGCCTTTCACGATCGACACCCGGCCGATTCAACATGTTGAATCGGCCGGGTGTCGGACACAAGCTATCGGGCCAAGAAACCACTCTGATCAGCTGTTCAGCTAGCAAATGAGAAGCGAAACGGAAGTGAGGGACGTAAACAAACGATTTAAGGCACAGGACAGCAGCTAAACACCAGCAGGTGATACTTAAAGACATCAAACATAGCCCTTAAATGTCCTCTCTTACCTCCCACACATAGCAGGGACATCTCTGATATCGGCGGGAGCGTCCCCGGCTGTCCTCTGCTGAGAGCTCCGTGATTTGTTTGGTCAAGTCCGGTTTTTCATCTCATCGTAAATTTAGCAAGAAGTGGCCATTATTACATTGCTGACTCAATAAACTACACACCCGCCAGAACACTGCGATCATCAGATGCAGGTCTA